TAGGTACTGTAGTTATTATTATCTTCATTTTACAGGTAAGGAAGGTAAGATTCAGAGAGATTTCCCATGGCTATTCATCTTTCAGACAAAAGTTAAAGAGGAGACTTGAAACTCGGGTCCCTACTAATCTCAAGTGGAAGCTTCTTTCCAACTATACTGTACTGCCTTATAATGGTATAACTTACACCACAGTTAAGTTACAGTTAAGATAACTCTTCTTCCCTCTCTGGCGAGTTCTCCATCTCCAAAGACCTGGCACAGCTCCCTAGACTTGTAGTGCTGCCCTGGAGTTGAGTATCCCTGAAGGGGAAAAGCAATTAGAGTCGCTAGGAGTTTGGCATCTTCTCCTCAGACTTGCGCAGTCCACCTAGCTCACAGCACAGTAAAAGTCAAAGTCTAGGCTTGTTTCTCCAAATGATGGCTTTATCCTTCACTTCTGTTTTCCTCTGGCTCCTGCTTGGCCAGGAGCATGGCAGAAGAACTCATTGTGACCTGCTGTTGCTGGCTTACATTCCTCCAGTTCCAGGTTTGGCCTGAGAGCTCTTTGCTGCTTTGACCCTGCCTTGGTCCACTTTCGGGGGGGTTTCTCTTCTCCTGGTGCCACATGTTTCACTGCTGCATATGATTCCTTTTGAGGGACCACAGGGCCACAGAGTGGGTGTGTCTGACCATCTTTATTTTGTTGATTCCTTTTCTCCCCATCCCTCTTCCTTGTAAAGGGTTAGTCAATGAGGGGACTCTAAGTCAGTAACATGGTGTCTGTGGCCCATGATTACCTTGCTCAAGATGAGTCCACACCTTATCACGGAGACGTCATCAATGCTAGGATTTCAAAGACTGCCTTGTTAAACACAAGGAGTTAGCATGATCAAGAGAATCTCTCAGGCAGGCCATACTAGTCCTTACATTGGGAATAGAGCTTAATCTAAATTTGAACTATTGTTTCCATTCTGCTTTTTCATCAAAATCAAGACCAGCCCCAGAGAAAATGATGAAGTGCCTGATTTACCTTTGGTGTCCTTCTTCTATCTCTGCCTTCTTCTTCATGAGATACCTCTTCAGCCTGTCCATGGCCTTCAGCTTACCCCTGTACACCTTCAAAAGAGGAAATAGAAGAGCCCTCTCCATATAAAAAACATTGTGTTCTTTACCCATTATTTGGTCCCACAAGGCATGAGACAGGATACCTCCCCCTTCCACACCCAAACTTGATTCTAATAACTTTATACTCTGGACTTCTTTTCTCACTTCATAACCTGTCCCGTGTTTCATTCCTTAAGACTCTGAAAGGTGATTGGGTTATTAATCTTCAGTAAATTAATTCTGAGTTACAGTAGGAATAAAGCTGATTGGGTGTCTGTACTAAGTTTGGCACCAATATGGAGGTGGAAGAGGGGGAACCCAGGCTGGCTGAGGAGGAGCCCAGGTCAGAAATGGAGCCAATTTGTGCCAATCAGCAGTGGGGTTGGGCCTATGAGTGGCCACTGCACGTCAAGCCTGGGAGAAATAGGAAGCCCTAAGCTTCACCAAAAAAAAAAAAAAAAGAATTTCTGGAGATCACCAGCAAAATGGGAGTCTGTAGCAACCATGAGAATTTCAGGACATGTCTAGCTGAAGGTTAAGAGATATGATGGTGCTACCTTTGGGTGATTTTCTCTAGGTCACATTGACATGGGCAGCTACCTCTTCTGTGTACAGTTTAGCTCAGCTTCAGCTTAAATAATACTGATCTGTGCTTTAGGTTTCCAGGAAAGAGAATGTTTCCTAGTATCACGGGATCATAGATCTTGGGCTAGAATGAAAGAACATTTTGGAAAAAATCAGCCCCAAGGGTTATTAAAAACCAAAATGAAACCTACTCTTCACTCCATCACAAGTATTGAAACTGTTTGCCTCATTTCTGTTAGATGTTATAGGTAACCATGGAACCATGAGACTTTCAGGACCAGCAGTTAGAATTGGATTGTTGTATCCCACAGGTAGTGTGGGAAAAGTCATACCTTATACAAAATGGCCAAAGTGTGGGGCTGGGGAAATCATTCCTCATACAGAAAATTATACCTTTTGTTTACGTTTAGACTTAGGTCTTTGACAATATGCAGCAAATGTGACTTAGAGAAAAAAGTACTGACATAATGGGATCTGGGTTCTGCTCCTCATTTGGCCACTGACTAGGAATGCAACCATGAGCATTTAACTTCACTGTTTTGTGCCTCAGTTTCCCTATCCTAAAAGTAAAGGTATTTTTCATTAAAAAATTTTAATCAGAAGTGAACATGAAAGATGTCCCATCATTTCTCATAGACGTTTTATGGTGTGGGTGGATGAGGGAGGGAATATCAGGTAACAGATGTTGAAATGTTTTGAGTTATTTTTAAAGAAGAAAAAAGTCCTTTATCAACCCAAGGTGCTATTATTTTTATTTCTCAAATTAATCTTATTTTTAAACTTTTCTGAAGACATTAGACTCTAGTCAAGCTACAATGAATACTGTTGTTGAAACTTTTTTTGTTTAATTCAGGTGTAGGGGTGAGAAGGGAGAACATTTCAAGTATAGGAGAAAGCCTGTACAAAGGTACAAAGATAGGAGATGTAGCACCTCTTTCGATGAACCAGAAATAGGCTATTGTGGATAGAGGCTGGAGGGGAATCAAGTGTAGGAAAATAGGAAAGGTAGGAACAGGCCAGTTGTAAAGAGCTTTAAAATTCTAGGCAGATCCTGGAGGTGATAGGAAGCCGCTGGAGTTTATTGAGTAGGGGGTTGACATGGCCAGACCTAAACTTTAGGAAAATCAATTTGGCAGCTGAGTAGTAGGGAGAGAATTGAGGCAGGGCAAGCAATTAGAAGGCTATTGCAATAGTCCAGGTAATGAGGTCCTGAACTAAGGCTGTGACTATTCAGGTGGAGAGAAGGAGATGTATAAATGTGGTAAAAGCAGAAATAATCAGATGAGGCAATGGACTGAATACTTGGGTTAAGTGGGAGTAAGGGATTGAAAATGGTGAGGTTGTGAGCCCTTGACAGTGATAGGAATGTTTGGAAGTGAAGGTTTGAGAAGCTAAGATATGTGAGTTCCATTTTGGACACGGTAAGTTCGGGATGCCTACAGGCCATCCAGTTCTAGATGTCCAAAAAGTGATGCCTCCTGGTGGTCAGGAGGGATAGTAGTGCTGGATGTATAGGTATGGGAATCACAAAGATGATCATTAAGCCCCTGGGAGCCAATGAGATCACTGAGGGAGATAGTATAGAGAAGGGAGAGAAGAGGAATCATCCTGAAGTTGAATTTTCATCCTGAAAAATTCATCCTGGTAGAGGCCACTCTTGAAGGTTTTTGATCCATGCCAATGGAGGAGGCTCTCAATCCAGACAAAAGTTGAGAAACTGATTTCCTCCAGAGGAGTATGGAGGAAATGTGTGCTTCATTATGCTGTGAGAACGACTCTACGTTCTCAAAGGAAATCCCAGGAGACCTGAAGCTCTGTGTTCTAGGCCGATTGGCCCACTAGATGTTCCCCAGTTTCTACATTCCATCACCACACTCCAGGATTCTGCCCAGAATGCCTTCCTTTGAAAACTTCCTCCCTTCTTAGGATCCCCTAGTTTCCCTCAAGCCTCGACTCAGGTACAAATCTTTACATAAAATCTCTTCTAGTTTCTCTCCTGAAATTACCTTGTATTTGTTCATGTGTATCTGTTGTGACTCCCCAGTGGAATGTAAGCTCCTTGAAGGCAGGGGCTACTTTTTGCTTTTTTTTTTTTACCCCCACATTGTTTAGCATGGTGCCTGCACATGCATAATAAATGCTTGTTGACTGGCTGATATTGTTTCATTTGGTTCTCTATATGTTGTTCTAGGCACTGTTCTAGGCACTGAGGAGACAAAGGAAAAAAATCCTTTCCATGGAGGAAGGAGCTTATACTGTAATGGGAGAGATGCCTACACGTATAAGGGTATATATATCAAAATATCACCTACAAAACAGATACAAAACAGTAACTTTGGAGAAATGAGAAGGCACTAAGAAGTGGGGGGTATGGGGACTAGCAAAGATCTTAATACAGTAAATCTAGTACCTGATTTGAATCTTGAAGGAAAACAGAGATGGAGATAGGAAGGGCACATTAGAGATGGAGTTATTAGTATTATTATTTTTATGTATTGTCATTGTGTGCAATCAGATAATATACATGTCATCCGAAAGGATCACTGTTCATTCATCATAGATACTCATTCATCTAAAGTTGGGTCATAGTGCCGTATAATAATAACATTTTTAATAGGATATATTTAGTTAATTAGAACATTTAGACCGGGAGTTCTCCAAGTATGACCCAGGGACCTCTGGAGCTCCTCAAGACCCTTTTAAAGTGTCTGTAAGGTCAAAGTTATTTTCATAATAATACTGAAACATTTTAATTTCTGATACAGGAAACATCATTAGATGTTGAGTGTACATAAAATAAAGCTCTTTGAGGGTGATTCATCAGAGTGAAAAGGGGTTTTAAGACAAAAAGTTGGGCAGAGAACCATTCCCCTAGGTCATCTTCTATAAGGATGGCTTTCAGTGAAAAGATCCCAGGTCATGATTATCTCCAGACCAATACTCCATAAAAAGCAAAATATGCTTGCAAAGATTTTATTTATTATTTACATAAGGTTTTGTTTGTCTCTTGGCATATATAAATTCCCAAGAGTTCTGTGGGCATGTTCTTTAATTATAATATGATATAATAATAATATATATTGTTTGTTGTAGGATGTCTTTTGCTCTTAAAACCAAATAAATTTCCCTACATTGTGAATTTTTGATAAAAATGATGATGCTTTTTATTTTGTGTCTAATGGCTCCATATTCCAAACAAAACATTGCAACAGTGTTTTTTTCATGAATATGAAAATATATAGGTATGGGGCTTTCCAATTGCAGCATAGTTGTATTTGCAAATATACAATTCCATGATTGAAATGAAGCTGAGTTTCTTTTTCCTTTCCCAGGAGAATACTTCACAGGGACCTAAAAGCAAAGAACATTTTTTTGAAAAATAACCTACTTAAAATTGGTAAGATTTTTCTTTATATTGGTAATTGTGCAGTAGCGAAACACTGAATTCTAACTGTCTTTGCATATCAAATTAAATTGCATGGTATTGGGAGTGGCTTAGTTAATAGGAATTCATTAGTTTATAAACACTATAATCTCTCATTTTTACCGGGATCCATAAAACATAAGTCTGAATCGATTTTGAAACCAAAATCCATTATCTTGTTTTTGTAACCTATGCTCTCTAAATGGGAGAAAAAAGTATATGCCCACTTATGTAGAAAATTTGCAATTAATTGGACTTGTCTCCTGGCTTAATGGATTACTACAGGTTCTCTGCTTATTTTCTGATGTCCATAAGCACTTATTACAGATAATTAAAGTGGGGATGAAATAGTTTTGTTAACCTTTTGTCCTTTCTGGTAATTATTTAGACCTCAATACCAACCCTCAATGATTATTTATTAGATTTACTAATCTAAACTTTTCTTTTTTTTAATAGAATAAGCAAACATAAAACCTAGCAACAGTAATTAGTGAAGAATAAGCAGGGGGTGGCTGGCAGAAATCTGATTTTTAAATTTTATAGTTTTGCCTTGGAAAACCATAGGTTTTTATTTGCGCATGAAATTTCCTTTTTGCTGGTGAGGCTGAAACTTTTCCTGTTTCTGCCAAAATCACTGACTGTATCAAATGCAGCTTTGTCTTTATGCCAAGTTGTTGACTTGTACCAGATGTTCCTTTCCCCAGGGTTCTTCTCTAAGGAGGAGTCCATTGTTGGCCAGGTGTTGGTCACCAGTGAGGCTAGTCACCTCTTTGGCAGCAGAGTAGTGGCAGGTTTTTTTGGCCACACCAGCCCTTGAACACAGTCTACTAAAATTGCACATGGACCTTGAGCTTCACTGGTGTCATGAGAATGAAGTAATACATTTTTGAAGCATGAAGGTAGTTGCCATTATTATATAATTGTGGAATTAACACTATGACTTTCATTTTTTTCTTTGAAAAATAATATGCTTGAGTATTTCAATGGACACTTTGACGCAGGTACCCATTTAATTGTTGCATGCCATCTCATTTGGTGCACCTCTCTTCCATAATTCCTCCGTGGGGTCCATCCAGTATGCTGAGGGTCTCTTCCCTAGAATTCTAGGCCTTGTATGGGGAGCAGTTATCCCTGAAACAAAGAAAAATAATATTTTGGAGGGAAAAAATTGATGTTAATTACGTAATTCCTAGGGTATGATAATGAATTGAATTGATTTGGTTAATTTTTAGAAGTAATAATAAGATTAATTTTTGTCTTGAGGGGATTTTGGAGTCTCCCGGCTCTTAATGGGATCATGTGACCTGGCAACGACTTTCACCGGGACGCCTTACTACATGAGCCCCGAGGCGCTGAAACATCAAGGTTATGACACCAAGTCTGACATTTGGTGAGTGAGCATTCTGTTCTTTCTGGTGGAGTATCCTGGTTGTGGTGAGGTGAGGAAGGAATTCTGCCCTCTGCTTGGATCTCCACCCGCTGTCCTGTGGGAAGCCTTAGTTCTTCTTCCTTTAGCCAAGGAATAATTGTTTGACGTGAGGGGAAATAAGAAAACCTTGAGATCTTGGTGGTTGGCTTTTTTCTGTATTCTATTACAGAATTTGAGAGATTTATTGTAATGACTTAGAAGGTTCGCTTCATTTGAGTTTAATTGACTGTTGCGGTGTTTTCTTGAGAGACAGCTTCATGTAGTCAAAAGAACGCAGGCCTTGGAATTAGGAAGACTTTAGTCAGATCCATCCTCTGATATAACCTCCGTTTCCTTATCTGTAAAACAGGGATAATAATGCCTTTATTACTTACACTTCCTCGTTGTTGGGAAGAGCAAATGAAATAACGTATGTGAAGGGCCTTTTAAACCTTAAAGTGCTGTATAAATATCAGTCATTATTATCTGCATCATCATCATCATCATCATCATTAAAGGAAGTTCTCAAGGTCCCTTGGGATATGAGCATTAAACAAACTGAATAAATATCCCTGATGGGCACCAGAGAGTGCGCTTAGTTGTAACCACGCTCTTGGCTTTCATTTTAAAATTATGTCCCATCTTCATAGAAAGTGCGTTACTTTTCTCTGATACCCTTTCATCTTGATGCATTTAAGTAATTTCTTTTGAAAAGTGAATGGGTTTTCTGCGACAGGTGCAGTGAGAGGATTCCTTTGTTAATGTGCCAGGGAAATCCTTAGGCCATATCATGAAACCAGTTTAAGCCTCTATTCAAAATCATTTCTGAAAAATGTTTCAAACATGTATTCCTTTGTAAGAGATATGGGAGCTTGGCGGCACCACAGATTCGCCTTCCTGAGTTCAAATCTGGCCTCAGACACTTACTAGCTGGGTGACCCTGGGCAAGTCATTTCACCTTGTTTGCCTCAGTTTCCTCATGTGTAAAATGAGCTAGAGAAGGAAATGGCAAACCACTCCAGTATCTCTGCCAAGAAAACCCCAGATGGGGCCACAGAGTCAGATATGATTGAAACTACTGAACAACAATAACAACAAAAGGGATATGGGCTCTTCACAGACAGAGGTCATGCAGTGGAGAGAGTGCCGGTCCTTGAGTCTGGAAGAACTGAATTAAAATCTGGCTTTAGATCCTTACTAGCTGTGTGACTGTGGGAATATCACTTTAACCCCTACCTGCCTCAGTTTCCCTATCTGTAGAATGAGCAGTAGAACTAGATGAACTTTGAGGTCATTTCAAGGGTAAATCTAGGATCATATCATAGTATAAGAATACCCCTCCTGAGGCAGTATGTAAATATTTCAGGTTACTCAATATTGATGGGGCAGCTTAACCATGACCTTGACCGTTTGATAATTTGGTATTCAAATGAACTTAGATGTGGGCCCAAAATAGAAGGGACATTTTACTTGTGTACTCTTTTTAAAAAAATTATAATATGTAATGTTATCTCCATCTGATTGTGGACAAAAAAATAGTCATATGGACATTTTTATAGAGCTCATGTTTTCAGGAAAAAGAGATGTTCTATAAGGTTTTAAACAGGACAGTCAGGAATAATTCTCTCATCTGGTCCTGATCTGCCTCAAAGCCTGTTACTCTCTATTAAACGCACAGAAGGTTTTCACTTGAACGTAAGTAGAAGACATCAGTGGGGTCATCCATTGCATCTGGGGCCATGAACAGTCATTTTTGTCTTGCCACTGAACTTTGATGACTCTGGAAGAAAGAGTAAGCCTAACAACTTTGTGCAACTCTGCCTCACTTAAACCTAATTCACACAAGTCAAGACGTCCCCTGTGATGTCAGTGGTCCTCTCTGAAAACAAAGGATGAACAACAACAGTGAATTATTAGTATTCTCATCATTCAATATAAGATTATATTTATGCAAATAGCAGAACTGATAGTACTCCTAGTTTCTGCTGTAGGAGTTTAACTTTATGCTGTATTAATTTTATAATTGAGTCAGTTTTTTCTCTGAGTTAGTTTAAAGTTATGAGCCAACTTGTCATCTTCCCCAAAAGGTATATTATGTCCTTGCCTGTCCTTGTATAATTAAGGAGGGTCTTATCTCCCTGACAAACTCATCTAAGCACCAGAGCGTCTGCCAACTCGGGTTCATTAACAAGGTCTGCAAGATGTTGATGGGTCATATAAAATAATTAACATTCCTTAATTGTTACAGAGATAGTTACTAGCCCTGGAGCCTGCTTCCTTTAAAATAATTAATCATGTTGTTCCCACCCCCGTGAGGCACAGAGAAGACTAAAAGATTCTTTCCTGAAAGACTGAGGGAGTCAGCTGTCATCTCAGAGAAAGACTAAAAAGATATTTCCTGAAAAGAATGATGTGGAGAGGTATCCTGAAGAGAATTCTTGAGAGACTTTTAACAACCAATCTGAGAGAACTGAATGATGGAACTGTGTTTCCAGAACTGAGAAGACGTCAACAGTTGAAGCTAATGGTTAGAGGTGACTCTGGTAGTACTTTTTCTCACAACTAATACATTGTTGAAATATTAAAATATGTCTTTGTATTGTTTGCTATACTATTATTAAGTTGCATAGCCAGTAATATTGATGTTTGAGAAATAAGTATATGTTTCTGGGAAAAGAAGTTTCTGTGGTTTATTTAGGAGCTGGGGTGAAGGTTCAGAGTTAATTGATTATAATGAGAGATTGTACGTTTCTGTTCATTTAAATGGAAATATCAGAACATACTCTTAACTGCCTTAGAAATTGAGTAGATAATTAATAAAGAAATTAGCTGATAGCACCTGGAGATGGATGACCACCCCAAACAGTAAGCCACATGTTGGAGAATCATCCTGAGATCTTTGAGCCTGTGTGTGGTACCTGAGGAGTATAGGGTAATGTCCTACATCATTGTAATTAGTTTGTTTTATTTTAACATTAAAAATTATTAACATCTTTTCTTTTTTTTATTAGTTTTGATTTATCAACAATCACTTCCATAAGCTTTTGAGTTTTACATTTTTTCTTCCCCTCTCTCCCCACTTCCCTTCCCAAGATGGCATGCAATCTGATAGAGGCTATACATATACATTCCTATTAAACATATTTTCACATTAGTGATGTTGTAAGGAAGAATTAGAACCAATAGGAGGAACCACCAGAAGAGAAAACGAAACAAAACAGAAGAAAAAAATAGCAAATAGCATGCTTTGATCTGCATTCAAACTCCATAGTTCTTTCTCTGAATGTGGAGAGCATTTTCCATCATGAGACCTTTGGGGATGTCTTAGATCCTTGCATTAACATCTTTTCTTTTTTGTGTTACCTTAGTTTCCAGATATATCTTTCCCTCTCTTCCCCCCAGAGAGCCACACCTTTTAACAAAGAATAATAAAGGAAGGAAGGAAGAGAACAGGAAAGAGAAAAAAAAGAAAACTCTACAGAAAGCTGACACATTAACCAAATCTGACAGTCCATGTAGTGTTCCACACCCATAGTCTCCCACTTCTGGGAAGGAGAAAGAGGTGCATTTTCTCTTCTCTTCTTCAGGGCTGAGCTTGATCACTATAATTACACCCCATTCAGCTTTGTGATAGCAGGAGCAGTAGTGTAGCTGTTGCTAGTCTTTCCGTTTACATTGTAGTAGTCACTGGGTCTGCTGTTTACCTGGTTCACTTGAATAAAGGGGAAGTACTTACTGGAGCGCATATAGAGGGGTGGCCTTATGCAGTGGGAAATAGATTGGATTTGGGGTCAGGGAATTTTATTTGGGGTTAGGGGATTTAAATCGCAGCTCTGTAGGGTATCATTGCACAATTCACTTAACCTCTCCAGGCCTCGGTTTTCTCATCTTGCAAACTGACCAGGTCGGACTGGATGTCCTCTGAAATTTTTCTCACTCTAAATCCATGATCTTTGTCACTCAGATCCTCTACCTACACACACTCTTGTATCATTTTGCTTCTTGGTACTCCTGGCAACAAAGAAGAAAATAGCTTCCTCTTCTCAACAAATGTTGATCCCCTTTTCTATCCGAGAGATGACATCCGGTGACAGCAAATCCACACATACGTGTTGCACACCCAGAAGATGCTTTTGTCCTCCGCAGTGTCTGTGATTTCCCACACTTACGTTTCTTGTACACAGCACATCAGAAACAGCCTCAGTCCCTTGCACTCTATTGAAGATACATGAGTCACACAGTCACAAGAATATCTGAGTCAAGCCAACCTTCTTGTCAGAACCTCTAGGATGTTGTGAAGCATGGGCTGGGAGATGCAGCTTTCCTTTGCAGCTCTTTTCATAGAGATTATTTTCTACCCCACGAGATGAGAGCTGAGAAGCCAGCAGCCCTCAGCCCCAAATGACAAACTTAATATGAACGTGGTAATGACTTTGATTATATCCACATCAAAGATGGCCTCATCTGTTAATGAAATTTCCACTGTAAAACTGAGAACGGCAAGAATAAAAGTGAATGTCCAATTACAGTGATGGATAGAAAAGTGTGATGGGCAATGTCTGGGAGGCCCTAGGAGAAAATTTAGGTCTTGTAAGGTTAAAAACTCAGCAGTAGATTTCAGTGTTGGAACATCTGTTTATGGCAGAATAGTTTCATTACAATTTGGAAATACTCTTGAGTGAATGATATGTTTTATATTAGCACCAGTGACTGTAAATACCATACTTATAATATTCTTGAAATGTGATTTTGCTAGAATGGTGTTAACCCTCCTGTTCACTCCCCTCCCCGTTTAATAGATTCTAGTGGCTTCTTACACTCTGGAATGAAATTTAAACTCTGTTTAGTAGTGCCCTCTTAACTCTGCTTTTTCCTTCCTGGGTTTGGCCACCATCCCTCAGTTACCATCTCACCCTGGAACTTCCCTCAGCATCTGGAACATCCCTCTGCCATGTCTGCCCCTTCTCCTACTGGTGAATTCC